TCATCGTCACATAACATGTACATACAATGTCATCATCACAGAACATGTACATACAATGTCATCATCACAACAGGTACATACAATGTCATCACAACATAACATGTACATACAATGTCATCATCACAACATGTACATACAATGTCGTCATCACATAACATGTACATACAATGTCATCGTCACATAACATGTACATACAATGTCATCATCACAGAACATGTACATACAATGTCATCATCACAACATGTACATACAATGTCGTCATCACATAACATGTACATACAATGTCATCAGCACATAACACGTACATACAATGTCATCATCACAACATGTACATACAATGTAATCATCACATAACATGTACATACAATGTCATCGTCACATAACATGTACATACAATGTCATCATCACAACATGTACATACAATGTCATCATCACATAACATGTACATACAATGTCATCATCACATCTATACCTCAAATAAAATAAGAAACCAGGATATCACCAACTAAGTGAAAAAAATACTGTGTATTCAGTTTTTTGGAAGCTCACAATTTTTACTGGTAATATATAATGCTGAAGATGAAACAAAACATTTACTGTACAATGTATAACAAACAACAAATGTGTTCACTATAGATCTGACACCAGGGGGCAGTTCTATCTACTATTATCAGGTCACAGCAGCACTAACAAATATAGAGCGTAGCATACATTATACAAACACCCAGGAACAGCTTCATATAAATGTTCTAACACCCAGGAGGCAGCACCATATACATGTACTAACACCCAGAGGACAGCACCATAACATGCACTAACACCCAGGGGGCAGCACCATATGCATCATCCTGGAGGTCAACACAACCATGTTCTATCATTCTGGGGGTCAACACCACCATGTACTATCATCCTGGGGGTCAACCCCCCCATGCACTATCATCCAGGGGGTCAATGCAACAGTACATGAACACCAGGTACTATCATCCTGGGGGTCACCACTACCATGTACTATCATCCTGGGGCTCAACACTACCATGTACTATCTACCTGGGGGTCAATGCAACACCACCATGTACTATCATCTTGGGGGCCTAACCACCATGTACTATCATTGTGGGGGTCAACACCACCATGTACTATCATCCTGAGGTCCACACCACCATGTACTATCATCCTGGGGGTCAACCCCCCCATGCACTATCATCCAGGGGGTCAATGCAACAGTACATGAACACCAGGTACTATCATCCTGGGGGTCACCACTACCATGTACTATCATCCTGGGGCTCAACACTACCATGTACTATCTACCTGGGGGTCAATGCAACACCACCATGTACTATCATCTTGGGGGCCTAACCACCATGTACTATCATTGTGGGGGTCAACACCACCATGTACTATCATGCTGAGGTCAACACCACCATGTACTATCATCCTGGGGGTCACGACTACCATGTACTATCATCCTGGGGGTCAACACCACCATGCCCTATCATCCAGGGGGTCAATGCAACAGTACATGAACACCATCTACTATCATCCTGGGGGTCACCACTACCATGTACTATCATCCTGGGGCTCAACACTACCATGTACTATCTACCTGGGGGTCAATGCAACACCACCATGTACTATCATCTTGGGGGCCTAACCACCATGTACTATCATTGTGGGGGTCAACACCACCATGTACTATCATGCTGAGGTCAACACCACCATGTACTATCATCCTGGGGGTCAACACCACCATGTACTATCATCCTGGGGGTCACCACTACCATGTACTATCATCCTGGGGGTCAACACTACCATGTACTATCTACCTGGGGGTCAATGCAACACCACCATGTACTATCATCTTGGGGGCCTAACCACCATGTACTATCATTGTGGGGGTCAACACCACCATGTACTATCATCCTGAGGTCAACACCACCATGTACTATCATCCTGGGGGTCAACACCACCATGTACTTTCATCCTGGAGGTCACCACCACCATGTACTATCATCCTGGGGGTCAACAACACCATGTACTATCATCCTGTGGGTCACCACCACCCTGCACTATCATCCAGGGGGTAAATGCAACACCACCATGTACTATCATCCTGGGGGATCAACAACACCATGCACTATCATCCTGGGGGTCAACACCACCATGTCCTATCATCGTTGGGGTCACCACCACCATGTACTATCATCATTGGGGTCAACAACCCATGTATTACCACCCAGGGGTCAACACCACCAAATATTAACACCCAAGGGATCACCAGGATAACATATACTTACACCCAAGGTGTCACCACCATATATTAACATGCAAGAGACAACTCTATATAATGTGCACACTATATTATAGTTAATAGGAAATACACTAGTACTATTCACTGACCACCTTAGGACAGCTACATATTACGCAATGTACAAACAACCAGAAGGCTTTATAAAACACTGCATTCCCAGGAGGCAGCAATATACACTGGGCATCTCAGAGGACACTACAGTGTACATACATCTAGAGGGCAGCTATATTCATTGCATACCCGTCAGTCAGCACATACACTGCATACCCAAACTGTGGTACAATACCCTGCATAAAAGAGTGCTTTATGATAAACTGCATAGGCATACCAAGGGCCAGCAAAATACACTGCATAGATAGGTAAACTGCAAAGTTCTTTCTACACACAGGATCTGTGCTGTAGATGTCCCTACACGGAAGCTTTGTTGTAGATGGTCATACACAGGAGCTGTGCTGTAGATGTACCTACACAGGAGCTGTACTGTAGATGTCCCTACACAGGAGCTGTGCTGTAGATGTCCCTACACAGGAGCTGTGCTGTAGATGTCCCTACACAGGAGCTGTGCTGTAGATGTCCCTACACAGGAGCTGTGCTGTAGATGTCCCTACACAGGAGCTGTGCTGTAGATGTCCCTACACAGGAGCTGTGCTGTAGATGTCCCTACACAGGAGCTGTGCTGTAGATGTCCCTACACAGGAGCTGTGCTGTAGATGTCCCTACACAGGAGCTGTGCTGTAGATGTCCATACACAGGAGCTGTGCTGTAGATGTCCCTACACAGGAGCTGTGCTGTAGATGTCCCTACACAGGAGCTGTGCTGTAGATGTCCCTACACACGAGCTGTACTGTAGATGTCCATACACACGAGCTGTGCTGTAGATGTCCCTACACAGGAGCTGTGCTGTAGATGTACCTACACAGGAGCTGTGCTGTAGATGTCCATACACAGGAGCTGTGCTGTAGATGTCCCTACACAGGAGCTGTGCTGTAGATGTCCCTACACAGGAGCTGTGCTGTAGATGTCCCTACACAGGAGCTGTGCTGTAGATGTCCCTACACAGGAGCTGTGCTGTAGATGTCCCTACACAGGAGCTGTGCTGTAGATGTCCCTACACAGGAGCTGTGCTGTAGATGTCCCTACACAGGAGCTGTGCTGTAGATGTCCCTACACAGGAGCTGTGCTGTAGATGTCCCTACACAGGAGCTGTGCTGTAGATGTCCCTACACAGGAGCTGTACTGTAGATGTCCCTACACAGGAGCTGTGCTGTAGATGTCCCTACACAGGAGCTGTGCTGTAGATGTCCCTACACAGGAGCTGTGCTGTAGATGTCCCTACACAGGAGCTGTGCTGTAGATGTCCCTACACAGGAGCTGTGCTGTAGATGTCCCTACACAGGAGCTGTGCTGTAGATGTCCCTACACAGGAGCTGTGCTGTAGATGTCCCTACACAGGAGCTGTGCTGTAGATGTCCCTACACAGGAGCTGTGCTGTAGATGTCCCTACACAGGAGCTGTGCTGTAGATGTCCCTACACAGGAGCTGTGCTGTAGATGTCCCTACACAGGAGCTGTGCTGTAGATGTCCCTACACAGGAGCTGTGCTGTAGATGTCCCTACACAGGAGCTGTGCTGTAGATGTCCCTACACAGGAGCTGTGCTGTAGATGTCCATACACAGGAGCTGTGCTGTAGATGTCCCTACACAGGAGCTGTGCTGTAGATGTACCTACACAGGAGCTGTGCTGTAGATGTCCCTATACAGGAGCTGTGCTGTAGATGTACCTACACAGGAGCTGTACTGTAGATGTCCATACACAGGAGCTGTGCTGTAGATGTCCCTACACAAGAGCTGTGCTGTAGATGTCCCTTCACAGGAGCTGTGCTGTAGATGTCCCTTCACAGGAGATGTGTTGTAGATGTCCCTTCACAGGAGCTGTGCTGTAGAAGTCCCTACACAAGAGCTGTGCTGGAGATGTCCCTTCACAGGCGCTGTGCTGTAGATGTCTCTACTCAGGAGCTGTGCTGTAGAAGTCCCTACACAAGAGCTATGCTGTAGATGTCCCTTCACAGGAGTAGATGTCCCTACACAAGAGCGGTGCTGTAGATGTACCTGCACAGGAGCTGTGCTGTAGAGGTACCTACACAGGAGCTGTGTTTAAAGAATAACCACATCAGAGCTCTGTGCTGTAGATGTACCCACACAGGAGCTGTGCTGCAGATGTCCCTACACAGGGGCTGTGCTGTAGATGTAACTACACACGAGCTGTACTGTAGATGCACCTACACAGGAGCTGCGCTGTAGATGTCCCTACGCAGGAGCTGTGCTGTAGACGTACCTACACAGGAGCTGTACTGAAGATGTACCTACACAGGGGCTGTGCTGTAGATGTAGCTACACAGGAGCTGTGCCGTAGATGTCCCTATACAGGAGCTGTGTTGTAGATGAACCTACACAGGAGCTGTACTGGAGATGTCCCTACACAGGGGCTGTGCTGTAGATGTAACTACACACGAGCTGTACTGTAGATGGCCCTACACAGGAGCTGTACTGGAGATGTCCCTACACAGGGGCTGTGCTGTAGATGTCCATACACACGAGCTGTACTGTAGATGTTCCTACACAGGAGCTGTACTGGAGATGTCCCTACACAGGGGCTGTGCTGTAGATGTATCTACACAGGAGCTGTGCTGCAGATGTCCCTACACAGGAGCTGTGCTGTAGATGTCCCTACACAGGAGCTGTGTTTAAAGTATAACCACATCAGAGCTATGCTGTAAGTGTCACACCACAGTAGCTATGCAGGAGCAATGTTGTAATTCTAACCACACAGGAGCAGTGCTGTAAGGCTTGTCATATAGGATCTGTGCTGAAAGTCCTGCCATAAAAGAGCTATGCTGCAAGTCTTTGGACACAGCTGTGCTGTATTTCTACACAAGAGCTGTGATGACGGAGTCCTCAGATGTGAATATTCTATTATACTACAACAATGAAAGACGTTAAAATTGGCATTAGTAGTTCCAGCACCAAAGAGTACAACCATGATGTAATTGGGTTTATCTCACCAACATAGCCTCAGCTTATCTGAAAAAAGGGAAAGAGTCTGATGTGATTTCAGCGTTGTTAGATAACATTACAGCAGAACTAACTATCTATCACATGTCTTAGAACAGCCATAACGTATTACCCAAATTTTATTTTACCTGTCAGTGTAATGCTAAAATAAATAAATTTTCATTTTTATTTTACATCAATTATGAATTAGTAATTGTCTGTGGTCTATCTACTTCAGTATAATTATATGTTAATATCTGTTATTCACATATTACCTATCAGGAAATGATGGTAGATTTAAATATATAATGCAATAGGTGATTACTTGTAGTCTATAACCTGCTAGTGTAATGTAATGTTACAGGATATTATGTACAGTTATAGCTGAGTGTTTGGGATCCATCTACTGTCAATGTACATGTATATGTGGTAGCTAAATAAGGGATTATACCTGTAGTCTAACAGCAACATCCTGTTATGAGCAGTGAGAAGGATCCTCATTTCTCACTGTATTCTCATTATGATCAGATTCCTTCTGAGACATCTGCAGGTTTTCCAGCTTTCGCAGAAGGGCGTCTCCAAACGATTTCCTATACTTTGGACTGTGGTTATCCAAAAGAGCATATATGGTCTCAAAGTACTGGGAACTAGCATTTTCATCCACCATGTTAAATTTGTTGCCTACAACCTGACAGCAATAAAAGCAGACACATTATTTGTGCATAAAAATCAAAAGGGATCTGTATTTCACTATAGACTGTCTAGCTGTTTCTATTTTGTCTCAATATATAGGATGTGTCATTTTTAGGAAAAATTACGTAAAAATCACTTATTGTTGTTAAAATCGGACCAGCTTATCCACCGCTATATAAGATGAAAAGATTGAAGACAAAATTCAGGATTGTCCAATATTAGATAGTCAGATCTAAAAATAGCTCTACAGACTGACAGATTTTGACAGTTCTTTACCCTGAAGCCTTGGTCTGTAAGCTCTACGCTGAACTCCTGTTCCTCTTGTGTCCTAAGGTTTAGATGAATTACTTTGTCACCATTGGGAAGATCTTTTGCTATTTCAACATAATCAACGGCATATGCGACCTCTTTAGCAACTTCCAATGCCTCTATTCGAAGCGTAAACTTTTCATCCTCGACGTCCACCATCATGCGGAAGTAGTGACGGAAGTTGACAAGGGAAGTAACCCGTGGTAAAAGGCCAAGGCAATATAATGTTTAGTTGATGACCCTGATAGAAAGTATCCGGTTCAACCGTTTCAACCAGTTCATCATGAAAAGAAGACGACAGGCTCAGATCTTAAAAGAGACTGCACCCAGGATTACTCGACATGTTCATATCGAGGGGTCCAGACGTACCTGATAGAAACTGAAATGTTGACTATTTGCTATATTAAGTTAGTTTGCATTATTTCTTTATAAAACAAGGTCGATTCACCACGGACTGTTTAGGATATGTTATATAGTTAAGAGGACGCGCGAAAGAAAGACATATTGTTATTTAATATTGTCATTTAGACCTAGTCCCAAAATGTGCATTTTTAGCTCTGCCTATACCGTTCAGTCCACGTGCGTTCGTTCATCTCTGGGCCACCAAACCGTTTCAACCGGGATATGCCAATGTGCGTTGTATGGAACGCCAAATTAACATATAATCAAATAATTGCGCCTATCTTCAAATAATTGAAGAAATGTACGATTCAATTGAAGATATGTGCAATTCAGTTGAAGATAAGTGCAATTCAGTTTAAGATAGGTTCAATTTAATTGAAGTTAGGTACAATATTCAATTGAAAATGGGTTCAAATATGACGAATTAAACCTGTCTTCAATTATTTGAATATATGTTAATTTGGCGTTCCATAGATCTGATATATGAAACGGCAAATTATCATATATTCAATTAATTGTACCTATCTTCAAATAATTGTATTATGTACAATTACTTGAAAACAGATGCAGTTGAAGATAGGTGTAATTCAATTGGAGATAGGTACAATTAAATTGAGGGTATGTTGTATTTGTACATATAGGTTCAATTCAACTGAAGATATGTACAAATAATTATAAATATATTTAATTATTTAAAGATAGGAACAACTGCATTGAACCTATCTTCAATTGAATTATACCTATATCCAATTGAATGGAACCTTTCTTCAATTGAATTGCACCTATCTTCAGTTAATTGTCTAGTTTATATTCGGAGGTAGGCCTATCGGGTTCGAATCCTGGTCCAATCGTGCATTGTTACAGTAATAATTTGGTATTAATTGTCGAAATCTTTCTTCTTTTTTTCATTACGAACCAGATATTAATGTTTGCACCACAGTTATTTAGCGACGTACACAGAGACGTATAAAGCCATATATACACAAGGCATTCAATGTTAAGTTATCCGAGGCTATACCAGGGACAGTATATAGAGGGGATTGGCAACTCTGCCCCAGTCAAGATTCTATAGCACGTCGCTTTTGTGTTTGTTCACCGAACTGCGAAGTCATCGAGAGCCCCTCTCGATCAGCCCGCGCTTGCGCACTAGCGTTAAAATCATGTCACCAATCTCGCTGAGATGGGAGTGTTTTGATAATGGTTAGCCCTGATTGGGACTGTGTATTATTAGTAGGTCTTCTTTTTATTCCAGGGACAGGGCTATAGTTGCCACTATGTCTAGCCTTTCGGCTGTGTTGGTGGCTATTACAACAAATCACATTTCGTACAGCACGTTCCAGTGAAAATAATGCTAATATTGACATTTTTTGACACAAAAACAGCACAAGTTATTTGTTATTTTTTGCCATAAAAATTAGTACTACATATCAAAAAATTATTCAACTTTCTATCGCTGTACATTTCAAAATGAAGTATTTTTTAAATGAGCTGATCCTCGAATGCAGGCGATACTTTTTTTGTTGGGTTTAACATTTCCGGTTGTTTACGTTTTTTAACAACACGTGTCCTTCGTTACCAGACGAGTAATTTCATCTGTGACATCGCTATAGTTCCAAGTAATGCAAATCAAATCAGGCCTACTTAACATAGAAATTACTCAGCTGTTTATTGATATATATTGTTTTAAAAAATATAAACGATAGTTTATAAAATTTAATCAAAACAGTGAGCAGTCACCAACTACTTTGGCAATAATGATTTACGTTCCAGTGAAAAATAATCCTGATATTTACTCTTTTTGACACAAAAATAACACAAGTTAAATTATATTATTTGCAATTAAAATGGGTTGGGTCGTTATAAAAATTATTCAGCTTTCTATTGCTGCTAATTTAAAAAAGATCAGTCAAATGTTTTTGGAGTGAGATGGTTCACATACATTTGGGTTTATTTTATCCCGCATTTTTGTTTATCGACGCCCACCACAATACTCTGAACCACGCGTTACATCGCGTTTAAAAATAGAAAAATATGCCCCAAAAACGAGACATCAATTACTATGATACCACAGATTTTATCAATTATAAGTAATACAATCAGCTTATAACAATGGGATAAACAAAAGACGCAAGAACACTTATCGCGATTGGTTTGTTTTCACGCCAACTTCTGTAACTAACGAAGCGGTATCGACGCCATCTTGCTTTGTCAAAATTGAGATAGGTGGCGCTCGCTATCTGCTCCTGAATCAGGGGGAGGTAAGTCTAGATTGACGTGTCATAAAATTGGTAAGGCAAAGAGGGAGTTGCTAATCCCCTTCACTATACGTCCCTGGCTATACAAATGATACGAGTCGTTCCTGGTCCATGTTAATTTATGATTAAAAGTTATTAATGTCGTCTGACTTGCTCGTTTTTTTTTATTTAGATCAAATAACATGTTATAAAAAAAACCCATTACTTAAGGTCTTTTTGTATACAGATCCGGTCTGATATATATGATTGGAGAACCGGATGTACTATACTGATCGCGTCGATACTTGACCCTAACGATAATCTCTACATTGGTTTGGCCTGCAAAAAAGCCAGATACGTGTAACCTAGAGTTACCTCCCTTCTAACTCTGTTTGAACAGCCAACATGGCAGCCAGTGGAATACTCCCTACCACACAGCAGAGGTACATGAATGGTGTTCCATTGCCCACGGCTCGCAAAACGCTCAGGATGAAGGAAAAGTACGTTATTTTACTGGTGTTTGTCACCTTTGGATCTGTATGTTTTGGAGCCTTTTTTTTCCTACCCGATCTTAGGGAACGAGTAAACGTTATTGAGATGAGAAAACACATGCAGAATGTGGATACGATGATATTCCCTAAGCCTGGTGAGGGTAGTAATGACTTGTCACCAGGGAAAGGGAAGATCCTTCGTCATGACAACAGTGGTGTGGATACACATAAAATAGACGACAAAGAACGATTACGTAAACAGATGGAAATACAATGGGAGCAGGAGAAAATGGCAGAGGCAGTAGCCAAGAGACTAAACATGTCAAAGGATGACACGAAGAAAGTACAGGGTGAGATTCAGGGCGAAAAAGAGAAGATGATACAGAAAAAGAAAGAGGTAGAGGCGCAGCAGAAGGAAGAGGAGCAGGAGAAATTGAAGGAGGTTCAGAAGGATCATGAGGGAGGCTTAGGAGCGCAGGGTGGAGAACCCAAAGATGAGGAGACAGCGGAGAGGAGAGCAGAAATCAGACGGGTTAGTATATTTGTTGTAGTGTTTTGAACAATTATTACATAGAAATGTCTAAAGTACAAGGTTGTTTTTTTTACAGTAGAAAGGATTTGAAATGCATAAGATTGTGAGTCTTCTTTTATTAAGTAGTTTTTGTTTTTCTGTTTCCAGCTCTCTTTGAATTGCATTATACATGTAATAATGACATTGTTTTACATCAACACCAATATTCCATAAGAATTACCCTATTCATCATACATATGCATGGAACTATGGGACTTGCGCATTATTGAAATAATGTGACATCTCAGGAAAATGTTAAGTTTTTTCAAATGTCATCAACTATATCTCACAGATCAAACTGATCAAAGACACCATAAGCATAGAGGAAAGAAAAAAGGATCCAGTATCAGTGAATTTAGTTTATTCTAATATCTTAAATATAAACCTTCACACAAAGTTGTCTCTGAATCAGCGGGTGTGCAACTTCAAGGGATATAGATGTATATCATATACACATGGTTCCTCAGTTAAGCGAAAACAAAAACATCATAAAATGACGATTTGTTTCTAAAATATCAGTTTGAAGAGCAACCCAGGCGCGGGTCGCTTATTTCCCGCATATTATAGAGGGCCGGAGTTCTGATGTTAATTGACGACAAACTGATATAAAAAAGTCGATAAACCGTCAGAATAATTTGGACTACCTGGTCACTGGCGATTATCTTATCTGCTATCTGCTACATTCCTCCCTCTCTTATCTATAAGTCTTGGACCTCAGAGACAGCACTGTTTACAACCTTAGGCACCACTGTAACAGGAGAGATAGATGCCTGGCCATAGGGATTCTAACCTGGGACTCTCTTAACACTAGACAAGATGCCCTAACTATTTGAACTTTATGGTCGCTATTGGTCCACCTAGTCCAGTTCACTACAGCTCCACATGTGTATATTTAGCCTGTGTCTGCTGGCCTAATAATCTTCTAACTAAACTAGTATTTGTCTTTGAACATCCACATTGTTAGCTCACCTGACCAGAAGGGCCAAGTGAGCTTATATAATGGCATGGTGCGGGTCAGTCCGTCTGTCGTCCGTCCGGCGTCAACTTTTTAGCTCACCTGGCACGAAGTGCCAAGTGAGCTTATGCCGTGGTGCGGCGTCTGTCGTCCGTCCGTCCGTCCGTCGTCTGGCGTCAATATTTTACTTTAAACGACTTCTTCTTAATAACCGAAAGGCCTAGGGTGTCGATATTTGGCCAGAAGCAAACTGGGATGAAGGGCTACAAAGTTTGTTAAAATTAATGACCTTCACCCATTTTCAAGGTCACAGGGGTCAAATATGTTAAAAACTTTAAACATCTTCTTCT